TTTGCACTGGCAATGCTAAATGACAGTGCCATTGTAATACTGGCAGTCAGTTCAACTAAACCTATAAATCCTAAGTGAAAAAATATCAACTCTGAATGATAAGCTATCTTGCTTGCACTGGCGATGCCTGGCGGCACTGTCTTTGTGGTGACAATGGTGCACTGTTCCAAGATGTTTACAGAGCCAGGCAGTGAAAAGACTGATGCCATGAAATAGCAGAGTACAACAATAATCATTGTGAAAAATATATTTCAAGACTCATATGTGAAAACCTAATAATAGTAAGGAGTTAACAAAGTAACCATTTCAGATATGCCAATATTTTTTGATGGTTTGGGTAAACTTGTATTGATTGTAATTTTTCCCCATCACCAATATTCACAGCTGTAAATAACTGTCTAGTTTCGATTAATTTCAACTATGCTTGATCTACAAGACTATATTTACATTGTATCCTGAATGCTTATAACACCAGTATGCATCTCATTGCACTGTGAATTATACAGTTTAATATTAAGGAACAAATGATTCTATTTCTGTTGTGGTGTCAGAATCTGGAAAACCTATCCCTAATGATTTAACACATGCACATTAACCCTTTTCTCTCTCTCTCTTTCACGGACCCTTTTTTCTCTCTTTCACGGACCCTTTTTTCTCTCTTTCCCGGACCCTTTTTTCTCTCTCTCTCTCTCCTCCCAACAGTTTTTCTCACTTTTCTCTTTCTCTCCAAACATGTTTATCTCTTCTTCACACTTTCCTCATATCCCCTCCCCTATATAGTAGCAATATCAGCTACTAAAAAAAACACACACCCATTCTATTCAGTAAATAATGATATTAAATCATCACTTAATACCTCTAAAGCTGTAAAACAAGTCGCTTTTATTTGCAAACATATCAATTTCTGTTTTCTTTACAACCACTTTGTTTAATGACTCATAAGGAATGTTTTCATTCAAATTGTTTATCTAATTTCTTCTCTTTGGGCTGCTAGTGTTGAATACTTATTTCTGAAAATTTTTAATTGGACAAACTCTATATAATCTAGCCTCTTTAACATTTATACTTATATAATTCCAGTTTCCTTTTAACATTAATGGTTATAACTGGAAAATAATTGCTATCAACTTAATCTAAACAACTTACTTTAAAATGTTAATGACATAGCAAGACAATGAACATATATTTATCTTTTCATATTGTAATGTATACAATAGAAAACCTATAATTTACAAATATATTCCTGAACATTTGCAGTGGAATGTTATTCCAATTAATACTAATACTACTATTTCAGTCATTGATACAAATATGATTACTTTTTAATAATTTGCTAGCTTTCCTTTTCTCTGCAAGAATCTGCCAGAAGTTTGTATATTATTGCATGATGGATACCTCATCATCAAATGTACCCAGTACTTAAATGTATTGTAACTTTTCTCCTCCACCACAAATTGTCCATCTGCATTTTGAACTTCCTTGGACTAAAGCAATGTTTTTCTTAATGAAATTACATCTGTATAGAAAGGATAGGGGGGAATATAAAAACACAAAGTTGGTTACAATTATGTACATATAAATGTTGGAAATGCTGAAATTTTAAACTTTTAAATTTATTTTTTTTTTTTTTTTTTTTTTTTGCTTTCCAGTTAACTTTAATATTCAAAGATTTAAAATGCAATGTTAATCGTTATTTACTATCTTCCTGATTATTCTTCTATTGTTCTCGCTCCATATTGTTTCTGCCTCTTTCACATCCACTAACCCTGCCTGGTGTGGGTAAATCCAATTTAAAAAAAAATTGTATTTGGGTATGTAGTCTAGCTAATTTCACTCATATTTATTTTTGTTTTGATCAATGGTGTTATTAAAATAAATATCCCACACTATGATAATACAAGATGTGCCAAAAAAGGTGGAATGTTGTAAGAACCTGGATTTATTATGGATGATCTAATGATCAAAGCACCTTTTATACATTTTCCCCTTAGTAAATTGCTTTCTCTCTTAATTAAAGCAGCATTTTTAAAATCAAAATTATGGTCCAACTCATTATGATGAACAACTAATGCAATGAGTGTGTTTTGTAAAAGATTCCTATTATTTGTGCATAATGATAACCTATAAAATATTTATTTATGATTTAAATATTTATAAAATAAATATAAAATAAATGTTTGCATTCTTATATCTTCGTCACCTTCCAACAAGTGATTGCAGCAACAAAAACATTGTTTTAGCTCAATGAACTCCTAAAGGATAAAATGCATGAAGCAGAACTTTTTTCACTTTGTCATTCATTTACCTAACATTGTTCTGAGATTTAAAAGTTATATATATATATATATATATACACACACACACACACACCAATTTCTCTTATGTCCAGCTAAACAATTTAACAACAGACTAGATATCAACACATCAGCGAATAAAAACTACTTATGTTAATTCCAAAGCACATGTTAAAAATTTTCAAAAATCTGCTTATCTAGCATAGTAATCCTTGCATTAAAAATATTTCATAATTTGTAAAATACAAATTATGCAATATCTTAATGTCTGGAACTCTGCCAAACTATTTATTGATGTATAATACTATTCTTATTTCTGCATGTTAAAAGCTTCCAGTAAATGATCAAAAATACAAATCAATACATTCGCAGGTTTCAAAAAAGAGGTGTACCAACAATACTCAGATTGCATGTTAATGTTCAAGGTGGATATTCAGTGTATTAACACAGGCATGTACTCTTGCTTGTATGCATGTGATAATACATATGTTGAATATCGCCTTCAATATCTTATTCCATACCTCTTACATCTGTTGACACAATGCAACAAGATTTCTAGGCATACTAACTGAAAGAATTCAACATTAACCAATCATATCCAAAACTTGTTTAATGGGGACAGGTATGCCAATCATGCTGGCCAAGGAATTTTTCAAACATCTTGCTTGAGCACATTGATTAGCACAGGCAACACTTGGGCAGGCATTATGCTGCTGGAACAGCATATTGCCTTCTTGTTGCAGCAATGGCAGCATAATATTTTGGACATACATGATGCTGTTCATCATCCCTTAATTTATGGCATCACAGCCTCAGACTATGATTCCAATGATTAAGCCATGTTTTCTAGGCATATATACTCTGGAGTGTATCACTCCCCAGGTGTACATAACACATAATCTGCTCTCATTGCTGAATACTAAAGAACACTGTTACTCCAGGTGATCCTCTTGCAGCACCAATGTTATAATGTAAGTGGAAGTCTGAACAGAAATACACATACCCTTAGTGCAACTGTAAGTAAACAATTTCCAATATTCCATGTTGACACTCTTGGAACCACATTTGCTCTGATCTGTGCTGTGGATGCTATGTGGTCTGTTACTACCATCTTCACAATTTATTGGTTTTGGTGTGTATGTGTGTCTGTGCTACATGGCTGTCCAGAAGTTGATTTACAAGTGTACGAAAATTGATTTGACCACAGTTGCTAACATTAAAGCCTCTACCAATGTGTGTCATGTGAAATCTGCACAGCAATTCTCTGAAATGATTTTTCAGCCCCTTGAAAGCCTCACAATTTCGCTCTCTTTTTTTCTTTTTCCTTGTACAAGTAAAGCAAGATTTTTTGTCCACATAATTTTGGTCTTTTGATCCTAAAACAATTTATTTTCCAACATTCTATACAAATAAAAAATGAAATTGACAGGTCGAATTCAAATTCCAGCTTATTCCATTTACCTTGCACTAATGCCACTGTAATTCTCTGGTGATTCACAATTTATAGATTTTTAAACTTTTCACCCCCAAGCAAGGAAATAAAATCACTAAGATGCAACTGATTACTGATTATGAAAGAATATGAGAAAAAGAAAGCATTATTAAGGAAAGAGAACAATAAAAGAACAAGAATTAAGAAGACACAAGGTAACAAATGACATTGTATTTAAACTTTTGAAGATCAAATTTGCAAGAAATCAGAAGAAAATTTCACAAGTGAGAAAAGAAGCTGTTAAAAAGGAAACTGGAGAATCATGTTCATCTATATTCTGAAGGGACTTTAAAAAACAAACAAACATGAAAACATACAGATAATATATAAGACAAACACAAACCTTGCAAGATAATTTCACAACAAAACTTCTTGAGCTAAAATTTTAAGTCTTAAGGCTGGTCATATAATTCTTCTGTTTCATGTTCTTTCAGCATATAAGCGATCATGGCTCTCCACAATTTCCTGTCCTTTGTAGTTCTTAATAAATATTGCTTTTTTTGATATCTCTCCTAAACCTTGCTCTGTTATCCATTTACTCAAGCTTACTAGGTAGGTTATACATTGTTTTCCACTATCCCTCTTGCTTTCAGTCTATCCTGTGACTATCAAACCTTCAAAACCCTCTTTCCTCATTATGTGCTCTAGATATTTCGACTATCCCTTTCTGATTCTAATAAGTTTTTTTTTTTTGTTTCCGTTATCTCTAACATGTTTAGTCCATTGTAGTCTCAGCATTCTTCTGTAGAACCACATTTCTGATGCTTGAAGTCTCTTTTTTCTCACTGAGGAGATTGTCCAGCATTCACTGCCTTATAAGAGGACAAATATTATGCAACGGTTTAGTACTGTTTTCTTAGTTTCTAAAGAAATTTTCCTGTTTCTTAATACTTTGCTTAGCTTTTGAAAGGCATCTTTCGCTATCCCAATGTGTTTTCAGACTTCATTGTTGCACTTTCTGCCCTCTGTTAAAACACTTACCACCTATTTAAATTGCTGTACCTGTTTGATTTTTGTATCTCCAATTTGTAATTTACATATAAGGCTATTCCTTTTGCTAACAAATAGTGTTAATAACCAGTAAATTTGTAGCAGGAATAAATTCTATATTTGAATGCTGTATAATGAACTGTTTCTTATTGCTGTAATTGTTTATCTGTTTCTTTAAGATGTGTACCTTGCAAATAACTTCTTAATGTACTTATTTTTGACAGGGAATATCCAAACCAAATTAAAATATTTTGAAACTTTAAAAGCTGCTGATATTCACGTTATCACAAAGCGAAGTATTGATACAAATCCACAGGCTCATCTCAAGTTTGTCAATCTCAAAGGCCTTGGCCGGTAAGAAAAAGATTGTTTTTCTTCCTGTCTTACTATCATTTGTATTTCAAATTTTTCACTTGAAAATAAAAGCTGCTTTTTTTTTTTTTTTTTTTTTTTATATAAAGGATATAAATGTTTCTTCTTTATTGGGTAACCATTTGGGAATACCATATGCTATGTGGCTGATGTATAATGGCTTGGAATGAGAAGTTGGGTAACCAAGTTTGAATTTCAGCTAGTTCATTACATCTACCTGCATAAATACCCTTGGAAAAGGTATGAATCCACCTCTTTCCCCCCCACCTTCTAAATATTGTTTAAATAGTAGGACTTGTTTCTGAAAGTAATTATCTCCCAAAAAATGGTTTATACAATATACAATCACAAAATATAAAATTCCTTACAATGCAAAAATTTTTCGGCTTTAAATAACTTACAAAAAGTTGATAAGCCATAAAAAACAAATAAAATTTAAATCTTCTTTATTATAATCATTCTGTTTTTTTTAAGCTAATTAAACTTATATCAAATTTGATATAAAGTTCTCATAAATTTCTCATAACTTTGAAATATATAAATTGTTACATCCATAAAACTGTGACACCCTAACTGGGAGGCCCATATAGAAGAGGAAAATGTGATTTCTATCTTGATCTCAAGTATTTCTTTTATGGTTGGGGGATGGAGTCTTTGAAGTCAACCACTTGACTGAAGGGAAGTTTAAAAAAACAAGTCATTTGGGTTAAGTGACGATAAGAGGTGGACATTGATGATTTCTGGTCTATATTAATGATTACATTTGAGATCGAGAAGGTGAATTCTGATCTGTGCTTAGCAGAGTGCAGACAGTACCTCAGGTCTTGTTCATATTTCCAGCCACACTTATGTAATATGTGAATGGGTAGAGAGTTGGTAGGAGAGAAGAGCTAAGCCATTCAGCCAACCTGGCAGAATCTGGTCCAAGAGTCGCACCTGCTTATGCAAGACCGAGCAAATGAAGCCCAGAATAAAACACCTAAACTTATTAGACACAGGGTTTGAGTTCTCATTTCTCAACATGGTGTTTGTTTTCATCTTTTATTTCCTTGTGAACATGCAGCAGGCCTTTCCCAGTTCTTGATGCACACTGATGTGAACAAATGATGCAACATGGGGTAGTTATTGGTCAGTTAAAGGAAAGCTGGGTGAGTACCCCATTGTATGTTTCCAAAACTAGATGGAGTCAGTTCCTTAAAAGAAATGGATTTACAAATAAGTACTTTGGTGTTCTGTTTTTATATTATAATACTTTTCACTAACCAAACGTTTCAAGAATATATTACAGTATCAGATTTAAACTGTTTACATGCATACTATTGTCCTGATCTTTATTGGTAATAACAACAGCAACAAAGGTAAGGACAATAGTTTGCATTTAAATATCATAAATAATGATAACTCTTCATCCTAGAAATTGATGGTTGATTTTTGTTGTTTTATGCATTTCTCTTTTAGTGTTTACAAAATCATATATATTTCAGTTCAGACCTTTTACAACTAAGAACAAACATGCTATGTACACACGGTCAAATCATCTTCATTCCCTTCATATTTTCTTGGTAAGAAATTCCACTCAGGTAATTTCTCAAGAACCATTACTTTGTGCAAAAGACTCCTGACAGGATGAGGCTACAGCCATATCATGTTGAAATATTGTTGTTTTTTGAGAATCACTGAAGTTAGACATCATCTTGCCTGATCAGTACCTAGGTGGGTGACTGTTTGAGAATACCAGTTGCTGTAAACTTGGATGCACAGATGATGTAATGGATAACAGCTCGTAATAGGAAATTGAAGAGCCAAGTTCCAATTCCAGTTGGGTTTGTTATATTCACTTATATGCAAATACTCTTGGGAAAGGTATGAATCCACCTCTTTTCTCCCCAGCTACGGGTTAATTAGTAAGACTTGTATCAGTAAATCATTGTTGTCTCTAAAAAATTCTAAAAATATTTTGTGGCTTTAAATAACCTGGTAAAGGTTGATAAGCTGTAGAAAATCAATCCTGAGAGGATACTACTCTGATCACAACAATTTTAACCTCTTCAAGTCTAAGGTCAACTATTGTCTATCCTACATATATTCATAATGTTCACTTTTTCCTCTTATGTCCATACAACAACTTCATTCAGTAAACCTTTACCTTCAATGGCTCTTGGGTGAACATTAGTATAAAAAAAAATGTTCCAATATAAACAGAATGTATCAATATTTTCTGGTTCTTACATAACAGAATTACCAATAAGATAGCTTTCAAAATATATCATTTTGCCTCCCAACCCCAGAAAACTGACAGAAAATGTCCACTGACATACTCATTTAAACAGAAATCATTTAGCTTTTGAAAAGTCTTTTTATCAAAATTCTAACCCTTATTTTTATATTTGGAAATTATCCTCAATTTTTGTTATCACAATGTTTTGACTATTGTACCCTTCCAGCCTTCTTTATATGTCTATTGAAATGTTGTAATAACAACAAAGTTAAGGAAAATAGTCTTAATATAAATAATGATTACTCCTTCTCCAGAAATTAAGAGAAAATTCAAACCAACCTGACATTTAGGTCTTATTTTACTTTTATAATCAATATTAAAAAAAATTGTAATTTATTTACATATTTATAAAAAATTCTTTTTTAGTACCTTTTGAAACTTTCTGACAGACTAGAGTATGTAATTTAGTTGTAAAAATTGGTTTTATGTTGGCTTCCAAGTAGTAAAGTAAATAATAATCTAAATAAAGCAAAATCACACTTTCTAATATTCAATGAAGCATTTTTTTTGTTATTTTTCTTCCAACTTCAGAGCAAACAAGAATGAATTTTATTAGTATATTGCATTTAATGAACTTAACACTTTAATAATTTTTGTCCAATTGCAAATGTTTGCAAAACCCAAGTTTTGGTCAATTGCAGCACCCATTAAATCATTTTATATTTTTCATGTTTAATAATCTCCAAATTATGATTCAATGAAATATTTTCAATTTCATATGAAAGAACTTAAATGCCAATCTATTCAAATTAGAATCCTTATTTGGTTGTTATAGAAAGGACATTTCAGCCTTCTTCAATTTTCTGTTATATTCAATATGTCAACTTTTGAACTGAACTCTATATTTAAATTTAATTTAGTAAATTTTTCTCATTCTGCTATCCATACAAGACAACTGTTGGAATTAAAAATAAAGACCACTTTCAATGCTACTATGATGCTATCTCCTGCCACTTCTGTATAAATTTTGGCAATTAAGTGAAGTTAGTTATTTGATTTGGTGAGTCAAGTAAAGCCTTTATGAATGTCAAATTGGGGATAACATGTTACGGTTCAAGTAACCAGAAGTCTTTGTTAAAGTATTAATATATATGTAAATGGGAAAACAATTGGAAGCTGCTTCATTACAACCTTCTTCACATTATAACATTTGATAGCCAAAGAACAATAGGTCGCATAAATAACAAGTTAATTTGTTATTGCAATATCACTATTGTTTTATTTCACTGAATCCTGAAATTCCGTTAAGTATATCTAATCTCCAGGTAAAGTAGATACAGATTTAACCAATGCTTTTATTAGAACAATGGTTCTTAAAGTTTCTCAAATCATAGTTTCCCACAAGCCAGAAAATTCTAAACAAGTGGCACATATTTGGTTAGATAAATTATTTGTACAAAGACACACCTGCTGGTGTGTACCAAATACAAGTGCAGATACAATTATTTATGTGAATATGTTACTTAATTGAGTTGTTATGGTTTGTTGTTTTTTTCGGTTTTTTTCTTATTTACTTAAGTTTTTTCTTATTGCTTATTTAGGTTTTTTTTTTATTACTTAGATTAGGCCATCAAACCATTTTAATCGATAGATCACAAAACTGGTAAGGAATTTCAAATAAACAGTACGAGATAATTTTTGTAATGTTCGGTTTCATAAAAGTAAAATAATGTAAATAGGATTTGTGTGTGTCCGTGCATGTGCGCACTAGTAGATTTACTACATGTAGAGGCATGAACATACATATATATATATATATTTTTTTTTTAATTTCTTTTAAATATATATATATATTAGAGTTATATAATATTTGGGATAATTAATTTTTTTTTTTTTTTTTTTTTTTTTTTTTAGACGCAGTAATATAAGTAGTAAGTAAGGTATAGTTATTGAATTGTAAGAACTGTATTTAAAACATAGAAACATTAGATTAAACTATGCAAGGGCAAGTCCAGCTTACCTTGTTATGTATTCCAGGGAAATAGTTCAAATGGAAACCGGATGGAGCAAAAAGACAACACTATATAGGAGGGAAGTGTAAAAAGCCTTTATTCCATTGATTTTATATATATATATATATATATATATATATATATATATATAAAAAATTTAAAAAATATAAAAGTGAAAACTGGTTCACACAGTGGTGACAGTATATTTCATGCTTGATTAGGTTGTGTGTTATCTCAATTATAATAATGGCCTAAAGATTGCATTCAAGCATGAAAGAGACTGTCACCACTTGCTCTATGCCTGATATTAAGCACCTTTACCCATAGAAATAAGGACAGGGACAAATAATTTTTAATACAGTTCCATGATTGAGCTGAAAATCATTCAGGGAGCACAAAAACCACAAATGTCCACTTGTGAAATGGGCCAGCACAGACAATCAACAATGTTATAACAATGCAGCAGTGAAAGCATTAAAGGCTGATTTATTGGCATGAAGTAAAGCCTCTTGTTAGTAAAAAATTGACAGCAAGTAGGGGAAATCAGGCTGCATAACCAATAAATATATAAAGTCACATTGTTTTATATTATAGAATAGATATATTTTAATGTTCAATTAAATTTCTATTGCGTTGAAAGATGCATTAGTTATTCTGTAAAGTTTTGGCAACATGTATATCATGTACTCAGTTCCATTATGAAATAGTTATCATGGAGTTTGGTACCAATTTCTAACCACTAACAAAACCAATTTCCCTCATTTTTATTTACACCACATAAGAATTGTGCAAAAAAATTACTAAAATTAATTTGTTTAAATATCAGGCTTTTTTTCCCTACTAATAGAAATATTTGTCAATGTACAAATTTAACTCCACACAGTAGGGTAATGGTAAAGTTAGTGCACAGTGATGTGAAAAGCCAAAACCCTGTTTACTATATCTGATTTAAATGTATTTGGCGCTAAAATACAAACATGATTATTATTTCAATTTTCTCACTAAACTTCACAAGTTGTCATGTCTGTATATAAAACTATTAGAGCAATTAAAGTTTTGATGTGTATGGGTGTATATATATATATATATATATATATATAAAATTTGTGATGTCACAAATTATATAAGCAACTGGTCTTATAGACTTGACAAAATGTTGTATAGATAATGAACTTTATTTTTAAAGCATTAAATAGGTTTTTAGGTTATTGACTGATGTTGCAAATCAGTTATTTTCAAGGGGATGAGCTTTCTTAAAGAAAGCAAGGTCTCTACTTATATAAAATGTTCTGAAAAAATTCAGATTTTCTTTTAAATTTATTTGGTAAACTAAATGCATCAATGCCCCATTATATCTAAAAATGCATTTGCCCCATTATATCTAAAAATATGAAATTATCTTACCTTTATGTATAATTGACTTTTATAAAATTTAAAAAAGTGTATTTCTAAGAAAGTTTTACTTCTATAAACTATGAAAGCGAAAACTTAAGTGTCTATATGTAAAAATCTTTTGTAGTTTTTGTCTAGCATTTCAGAACCTGTTTTCAAGCTCTATTAACTATGAACTAAAAAAGATTTTTTAATGAAGACATTTTGGATTATTTAAAAACAGATATTATAACAAGATGAGAACTATAAAGCCATAAATTTGAGGTGCACACACATACGTGTTCTATTTATGTATTGTCATGCTATTTTTATTTTAAAAAACCATTTGAGTCAAATCTTGGTCTGTTATTAAAAAATAGTCGATCTTTAATGTTTCATTGACATTTTGCATTGTATTCAAGATTCCTGTCAAAATCTTTTATTGAAAAAACAGTTTTATATTTAATTTTTAAGTTGCTTACAGACCTCAAATATAATTCAATTGTTCATGTTAAGTGACAAAAGATGCAATCTCTCAAAAATTTAAAAAATAACTAAATGGCTTTTACAAAATATTTTATATTTTTATTTGTTTAAACAGTCAAGTCTTATGTAAATCAATGTTTTTGCAAAAAATTGTTATTAATCAGGCAATGTTGAAAAAAGATTTTTCAGATGTATTTATCTCCTTATATAACTAAAATATTGTTTGAATTCAACTAATAATATCTATCCTTATTAAAAATATTGAGAACTTGTTTTAGAGAGTGTCAGGTTCCATTATACCCACTAAGTGCCACATAAATATATTGGCCACAGATTGATACATCTGATTAACACAATATACCTGAATAAATTATCATTTTACATGTTAATATGGGCTCTTTGATATTCTATAACCTTCATCAGTCTTTCAACCAGTGATTTTATCAATTTTTCTACTATCACAACATTGACATTAACTGCAGCAATTTTTTTTTTATTCCCTGAGCTCTTTGAATATTGTTTTCTGTCCTCATATACATTTGTCTTAATAATGTATCACAAGTTTTCTATTGGATTAATATTTGGAGAATCTCAAGAGAAGGCATTCCTTTAATTTTGTATCTCTGAAACTTTCTTTGGCAATGTGAAAGGCATTGTTTCTTGCATAAATATACTCTTCAGTTCAAATCTTCTTGTTTTCAATTTTTTTTTTTTGATTGTTCTCTAGGCTCTATAATAAAATCCATTATCACCAAACAAATGATTTTAAATATTTCTAATAAAAACGGATGTTATAAACATGAAATTCACATTGTACATTTATATAATGCACTTCTTGAAGTTTCAAAAGGACTTGTTGTTTCTCCATGAATTCAGAACACTATAAATTATACTAATGTGTAATAAATCAAATGCACATGAATCCTGACTGACCAATGAAAATCAAACCATGAAAAAATAAAAATACCACAGTTTCTTTCTTCATTTTTCTTCATATCTCATTTCTGATGAGGTTTTCATAAAAGTGAAACATGTTAGATTGACAAATGTTACCTATTTGTTCTTTATCCTATCATATAAAATATATCATGAAAATTTCATCAACATTGATTCATACAAATTTTATTCTTGAAACATTGGCTTGTATAAAAAATCTGACATAATGTTCGAGATTTATGTGAATTTTAAAATTGAATGTTATTTTCTATTATAATGTTTATTTTTTTTTGTAATAAGGTGTGTGTAAATATATACATATGTGTGTGTATATATATATATATATATATATATATATATATATATATATATATATACATATGTATGTATATGTGTGTATATATATGTGCGTATATATATATGTATACATATATGTGTGTGTATGTGTTCATATTGATTTCTTTTTCAAAAAGAAAATAAATTTGATGTAATTTTTTTTCTTTTCTCCTTCAGAGATTTTAGTTTCTATCTTCAAACAAGTCCAAGCATTTTAACGTCTGATTTCAAAGCTGTTACAGTAGATGCTTATGGCAGAAAAACTCCTATATCAGTCAACAAGAATTCTTTCTACTCTGGCGCACTTAGAGGTAAGCAGTGATAAAGCAAAAACAACTTCCTTCAATAGTAATTTATATTTTCTATCATTTTTAAAGACGCACATTATTTACAATTGAATCTGGGACAAGCTGCTGTTCACTGCAGTGAACCCAAGTGTCATAGCTGTTCATTTCAAGCTCGGCTAAACAGCCCTCTATTTAATAAAACCAGCACATTGAATACACTAGAATATTTATATAGGTTGCTTTGTTCTTAAATGTGTCCTATTTAGCAACAAATATAGTAATTGAACACTACCATTCCTCTAAAGGCTCTAAAAATCAGTATTGCATTTTGTTTGTGTCTATTTTTTATAAAATATGTTTTTTTTTATATATTAACTAAAACCAAGTCTTAGAAGTTTTTAATATTTTAGCATTCTGATTGATGAGGATTTCTTTTATTATGAACACATGTTTTATTTATTAACTTATAAAATGTTTATATACTTCAAATGCTATTTTTAGTGGAAAATCATGTTTGAATAGAAGCCCCATTTCAGAAAACTTAATAAAGAAAATGTGCACTCCAGCAGGATTTGAGCTTGTCACTCTTTGTAGGAGAAATGAATATCTAATCTGACATGCCTTAAAACTGCTCAACCACAGAGGATATCATAGGCCAGCAAGGTTCGATTTAGCCTTTTAAGGAGCACCCACCACCCCGTTCAGATTTTCTGCTTGATTTTGTACCCATAATGTAAACAAATTAATTTCTATAGGATTAATGGATTTATTTTTAATCTAACATTCTTATTACATTTTAAGTAACAAAAATGTTGATTAAAAGAAAATAAATTCATTAATCCTTTAGAAATTACTTTATGGTTACAAAATTGAGCAGATATGGGCTTCAGAAAATCTTTATTTTTATATTATTATTACTTAAACATTATTTTTAGTGAATATCCATATTTGAATAGACATTCCATTTATTTATTAAACAGTATATTTATTTATTTTTATCTACTGACCTGAATATTAAAAAAAAATAAATAAATATACTGTTTAATAAATAAATGGAGCGTCTACTCAAATATGGCTATCCACTAAAAATAATATTAAAAATCTGTCAAATTAATGAATAAAATGTTCATTACATCTTCAGAAATTACATGCACACATGGGGAAATATGATATATAAATTTATATATATATCAGAATGAAACTGAATGAGATTGGATAGACTACGTGTTTAGACATGTCTGCAAAAAAAATTTATGCATTTCCACATGTTTAGTGTTTCTAATTGATGCATAATTGTAATGGACACATGCTTTCATGTATCCCCTCTCCCCTTCCTACATTATATAATTTCATCTACAAAAACATTACTTTAGCCTGATGAAATTCATCTAGAGGACCGGACATGTAACACATTACTTTTTGAACTTTGTCAGTCATTTGCCTAATTATATTCCATTAGTAAGAAGGAAGTTCCATTTAGACAGCTTTTTCCCAAGAACTGCTACTTTTTGAAACAGACTCCCAAGAGGATGCTTCCTTGATCTCTACAATTTTAACCTTCTCAATCCTAAGGTTAACCATTATCTTTTCTACATATCTTCATATTATGAACTTCTCCCTTCCTCCTCTTATGTCCATATAACAACCTCATTCAGTAATCCTCTATCTTGAGTGGCTCTTGGGCCGTGTATTGAATGAAGAATTAGTTTTTTGTTTAAATACTAGGAAAACTCCTGTATCAATCAATGCCTACATTTTTATAGACTTTTTTCTAAGACTTAACATAGCCCTTACATACAAGGAAAGATACAGTATGTATTTTTCTGTGATTTGTTATTGTCAAAATTTACACTATTTATATAATTCAGATTGTTGTCCTCATCTTTATTGACATATTCACAACATTTCGGCCATTATTTACTTTATTCGGACTATTGTCCTCATCTTTTTCGCCATATCTATCACAACGTTTCGGCCGTTGTACGCTCTGGCCTTCTTCAGGTGGTTGGAATGTCGAACTGACCACATATGGAGAGAGAAGGGAGATCACCACCCTCTGTGGGATCATGTTGAGATCATTGACAAGGAACACCATTGGAAAATTTGTAAACTTAAGGAATCAGCACATATGCTAGGCCACAAAAATCTCCTGAGCCAACCAAGCATAGAAATAAATACAATATGGGAACCAGTAATAAAGAGTGCCAGAGAAAAGCAATGATAATAACATAGTTGCAATATGAGCTCTGGTAAAAACATGCAATGATAACAGCAAAATTGCAATATGAGCACTTGTAAAAATGGTTGCTGAAGACATTAGGTTTATAATACCCAGAAATTCAAGGACACATGGCACAGTGGATAAAGGCGTTGGTTAGATCCAGTGACAGGACCCAAAGAGTGTGAGTTCAATACCCGGTTAAGGCAGTGGAGAACTTTCAGAGGGGAATTAACAGGAGATTCCAACTGCCTGAAGAAGGCCGGAGCGTACAATGGCCGAAATGTTGTGATAGATATGGCGAAAAAGATGAGGACAATAGTCCGAATAATGTACGTAATACCTCATCTCAGAAATATAGACAGACATTTCAGCCATTGTATGCTCTGACCTTCTTCAGGTGATATACATTGGAATTTTGAACTGGACCCTTTATTTAGTCCATGGGGGTAGATTGTTCTAATTCCACACTTTTTTTTGGATATCTCAGTTTCAGGTAATTCCTTTTAGTAACTTGACTCTGTGTTTTTGTTCATCTCTGCTGTGGCCAGGTATTGAACTCATAACTCTTTGGGTCAAGTCACTTTTTGGATCACTCAACTAATGTTTTATCTGCTTGGTCCCATAGACTAAATAAACACTTTGGTTTGAAATTATTACTGAAAAAGGCTGGAGTGCCAAAAACATTGTAAATATGGCAATAAAGATGATGACAATAGTCTGAACAATATAAATAGTGTAAAGGATACAGTAGTTTACAAACATAACAATAATCCACTACCTTGAGTTGCTCTCGAGCCTTAGCAAAAAAATTGAGTAAGCTGTCTAAAATTCTTAAGTAATGCTTGTCTGAAATGAATATTTCTGTTTTGTCAGTAATCATACAAAAACTGAGTAAAATCCTGAAGAAAATCTATAAAGTTATGAAATCTTTTCCTATTCTGGATTCAATTTGTTTTCTTAAAGAACAAATTGTTCATAATTTAAAACTGTATTAAAACTGCAGTAATTCATGTATTATGACATGCTACACATTTTCAGATGAGCCAAATTCACATGTGGAAGCCACTTGGGAAAATGATAACCTGTTGGCCACAATCAGTGTGCCCAATGAAATCTACACAGTTGAGGTAAAATATCCTTTCTTCTTACCTGTTATGACTTTTGTTGTTTTTATCAATCAAATCAACAAACAGGCCTCTCAAAATTAACTCTGTTAATCTTCATTATATTCTAAACCAAATTTAAGACTTAATTCAGATTTCATTTGTTTTCCTTTTTATATTGACAAAAGAACTTTGATCCTTTTCTACCAAAAAAAGACTGAGACACAAGATTTATTTCACTCATATTAACTCGGGCATATTAATAAAATAAAAATAGGACATACAGGTTGTAATCCATTAACTTGCCTTTTATATCTTCCAATGCAGCAGTATATATAATTTTAAATTGTATGATTTTAAAAAAAATTTACTAAAGAAAATAGTTTTGAGCTAAAAAAAAATGTTTAAATTAGTTATTTAGAAAAATCCACATGTGTGACTTTTAAAAAATTATTCCATTACATTGAACTAGTAAACCACTTCCTAAACAGGAAAGGGATAACCTCCCCTCTCCTGTTACATAAACATCACACATTTACAATTAATTAGTTTTGATCAGAACTGTCACTTGGGTACAAATGGAAAAATTGATTCCTGTGGGTTATAACAGCTGAACAGGCAGGTATGAACCAAAGAGAAGGACTGTCATTTCACCTGGTATTTCCTAGATGGCACAAAAGCATCGATGCTATCTTTTACCCCAAAATGAAACTTCAATAGAGAGGTTAAAAATTTCACTCAAAGGAGTTTTAAAAAAACAAATGAATCCCAATCAGTACGCTGGTAACAGAAAGAAGTCTTGTAAATAGGAGGTTTCTATGTAATAGATGATTCAAAAGAAATATCAACGGATACTACAATTAGATCTAAATTGCCAAGAGAACAGAGTTGCAATACTTGACAAAAGCCAGGAGAGGAGATCAGGAACAAATCAAGAAGCATGTTGATCAGAATTATTAGGAAAACAAATAGAGAAATCCACTATTTGACTGAGAGAATGAACAATGGAAAAATTGAATGCTAGAATACTGGCAACATCAGTAATATTAACCACTCGACAGGATGAGCATTAAAATCACCAAACACAAAAATATTTGCAGATGTAGAGACAGAGACAGAGACAGCCATTTCAATACTGTCAGTTATTTCATTTAATATGTTAGAGTTCTGAGAAGAGAAGGAGCAATAAAGGAAAAGTGATAGCTAACAATTATGAAAGTTGAAAGCATATTAAAGAATTATCTGGGGATTCAAAAGAAAATTCCTTTGCAATAGGAAGATTTTTCTGGATGTAAACATCAAGACTATGCATATGTATCCTAGAATCTTTTTGACAAAGAGAAAGATAGCCTGGAACAGAATTTATTGGTAGAGATAGAAGAGTTTAAATTAGTTTCACAAAGTGCTAAGATATCTGGAGAATATTTTGAGAGAAAAGATTCTACACTACAGTAATTGGTACAAATACCATGAATATTGGAGAAAGTAAGTTTAAAGGTGATTTTTTTTTTTTTTTTTGTTTATTTCTTGTAATTGTAACTGTCAGAAGATTATTTTAATTTTTAAAGAGAGAAAGACCAAAATAATCATCTAAGGTAATACAAAATGGTTGTAAGGTGGTTAAGACTAAAGCATATTGTGGCCTTATTGTAAACATTTAATGGATTTAAAAAAAATCTGTACAACAATATTTGAATTGATTTCCTTTGAGACAAAAAATGTCTTTTGTTTAAGGTGAAAATCCTTGTCATATTGTTTGTTGTTCCTTATGCACTCATCAGTTATGACTTCATTAATAAATTATTTGTCACTGTCAGATGTGAAATCAAAACTCACAAATATATTTGCAAAGCTCTTCATCACTAATAAACCATTTTACTATAAAAGAAAAAAACTTGGAACTACTCTCTCAGACTAAATAGCTTTTGGGTATTAATTGGTTGGAGAGAGAGGACTGTCTATTTGATGCCCTGACTTCACAGAAGTGAACTTCAGCACACTTAACAAACATACTGGCAAAAAAAATAAATATGTGAAAAAGGATAACTTTTTCCTGTTATTGTATCTTCCCTCAGCAATGTTTGTTTTAAAAATCTAGTTTTAGAATTTTAATAAAACCCAAACATATCAAATTGAATTTATGCATTCTTTTTTTTCCTGAGAATTGACACTATTCTTGTAATTAAATAGCTTAAGTAAATAGTGTTTAATTAAACAGATTAATAAATAGTGTTTAACAATTCTCAAGAAAAACATATGTATAAATTCAGATGCTTGCAGACTATTTTAGTGAATTTATGTGGCAAGAGCAAATGAAAGAATTTCTAATTAGTTGCTCATAGTTATGCATTTAAATTTTCTTGTTCCCTTGTTCAGACATTTTTATAAAATTTATGAATAAAAAAATTTAGAAAAATGAGATAAATATCAATGTGGATCTGTATTTGTTAAGATTTCTATAATAATACAAAGAAATGTAAACTTTGTCTTGTGATTCTTATGGTGATTTTGGTTCAAACTGGTTTTAAGCTTGCTCCAGTCAAAAATTAACAGAACAAGGAAAAAACGAGACCTGACGTAATATTAACATTAGGAAATATTGTATTACACAATATACAATTATACAATGAAAAGTTGCAAACAAAGAGTGGTGTTTTTGGCATAACTAAACTGAAATGAAGTCCTTGTAACTTGAAGAAATATATTTTCAGGTGGAGATGTGTGGTTTAACAGAAAAAAACTGACTTTTTTTAGTTTCATCTTCACACTGTGAAACCGCGTCAAAACTTTTTACAAAACCAAAATCGTTCAGTTTAAGTGCTATCACTACTGAGTGACCATATCCAAAGAAACACTATTGAAAAAGACTTTCAGATGTTAAAAAAATTAACTACTATACCATTGTAAGATAAAAAGATTGAACAAAAATATGCTAAAAACATTTAATTGACTAGTTTTAAGAAATAAATGTGAAATCTATTTGTTTAGTTTACAAAAGAAATTAAATAAAAAGGAAATACGACATGATGTCTGAAATCTATTTGTTTCAGTTTTCAAAAAAAAATTTTTTTCACAACAACAAAATAGTGAGTAAAAATTAAAAAAACAGTTGCCAGTTTCATTTTAATGCTAAACTTTATGAAGTCAGATTTTTTGTAAGGAAGGGTAATAATTGTTTTCTAGTAAGCTAAGCCATTACACCAATCATGAAATAAAGTGGTTGTAAACAAGAAAAGTTAATGAAGATTTTTTTTTTTTTATGAATTTTTCTTTTTTATAAATAAATTTGTTTTTTTTTTGTTTTTGTTTTTTATCTACATTAGATATTAAGAATAATTAAAATAGTTCTTAATTTCATTTTTAAAATGTATATTTCCAGATATGCAAGTCTCTACTCAGAAAATTGTTTGTTTTCTAAAAATAAAATTGTTTCTATCTAGCGAATACCCCTAAAATTAGATATTAAAAAAAATAAAGTAAAGTTTTAATCTCAGTTTTAAAATGTCTAGTGTATATTTTCAAAATTGCAAGTCATTTTTTTTAAACCCAAAGTAAAAATTATTCTTTTTTTAGCCACTAGTGTTTGGTGGGTGTTCTGCCTACAAATTTCTTCTAATCAAGGAAAATTAATTGAAAATTCATTTTATTTTTACAAACTTTATGGTTTTATCTGATAAATAATACACTTAAGTAAGATTATATTAAAATGATTTAAAATAGTTTTTAATTTCAGTTTTAAAATGTGTATCTAAAAAAAGAACAGGTGATACTTGCAGATTTGGAAATCTACAAATTCTAAAAATGAAATTAAAAGCTTTTAATTTAATTTTAGGTGTATTCAGTAGATAAAAACAAATTTATTTAGGGGGTGGAAAAAAAATAACTCCTTGATTTTCCTTGTTTAGAAGAAATTTATTTGCATAACCCCAATAACAGTTGACTGGCATACCAGAAAAAGAATTGCTTTATTTATTTTTTTTTTTTTTTTTTTTTTTTTTTGCTTACTTTATAATTTTTGAAGGGGTTTGCTTCCTTGGGTCAGAGAAGAAATGAACATCTTCCTAGTTGTAGTTTATGGTGTCTTCTAATTGAGTGTACAATTTCAAGAATATTGATAAAGATTGGCCCTGTTGATTTTGTGAAACAAAGTAATGTGTAAAATTTAGTCTCAAAAGAAAAAAGAAATCACATTTCACATTTTCAGCTGGTCGAAGCAATACCATTTTATCTCACTGTAAAAAAAATAATTCAATGAATAAAAGCACATACAAATTACATATTTATAAAGATTATTTTCTTTCCAGCCATGTGAATATTTTGATTGAACCAGAAATACACAATTTGCAAGTTGAAGGACTAAATTGTAAATTTATTAATCTCAAACAAAATCAGATATCGATTGGAAATGCTATCATTACACAAGAAAATGAATGGCTTCCTTAGAAAGCAAAAATACTAAATTAAAAACCAAAAAACTGAATTGAAGACTATGGTATCAAGAAAAAAAAACAGAAACCGATACTGAAACATAAATTACTAAACCGATCAACTCTATTCTCAGGTATCTTGGATAAAGTCCTATCAGGTCGGACTCATGACTGCTCAAATTAGCCACTGGAAGGCTGCAGCACAAAAAGGTTGAGCTATTCTCAGTTAAATAGAAGAGAGTTTATTCAATGTCAGACTTTGATGACCCGTCTGTCTTGGTCAGAGTTTGAAGCAGAAAAAGAGTAACCTGGAACTATTCATTTTATGGCACCAATTCAATAGAGGCCTGTGATTAACTGAATCCCACAGTGCCTTGTCCAATGAAATTGGATGGTATGAATCTTCTAGGAAACTGTTGAATAAGCAAGGGAAGTAACTCGCTTGAGCCACAAAATATATATTTTTTATACACTTGAATTTCCATAATTTATCATATGTGGCTTATATTAAACATATTTTACTATGTTTGACTTTATGCCATTGAGCATAACAAAAACAAGCATTTAGTTATTAGTTTGAAAAATCTTCAGATTAAATCATTTCTTTTACATTGTTAATGATAAAAACTAAGTTACCATTAATAACAAATTATGAGAATAGAATTTTGTTACTACATTTTTGTAAAGATTAAGAATATCCACCAGCATACAAACTCAAACATACTAATGTATGAATCTTGTTTTAAATATTAGAAAACACAAAGAATACAAGTCCTACCAACCCATAGATTAGTGACCAATGAAATTTGACTTCACTAAATTAATGTCTGAACTTTCAGAATTTCACCAATATATGCAATAAATCAATTTAAAAGAAAATATTGTTTTAGATATTAGAACTGCTGAGAAAAAAAATTATTTACTAATATCTATATGAAGAATTATTTTCTAGTTTAATAGCTGGACACTAAGAAGTAAAGTCTTTTGTTTTTGTCTTTTTCTTTCAGCCAGCTTGGCGTCACTTACCATATTCCACAAATCATTCTATGATCATTTATAAAGCATCAGATGTTATTAAGTCTTTTAAGAATTCACGTAATCAACAGTAAGTAACATTTGTTTCTTTAATGATGGAACAATGTTGAAAAAATCTTTTTGTTTATTTTGCTTGTGTCTCTAAATAAAAAAATTTACTTGTAAGAATTTGAGATGCATTGTTAAATGTTCAATTTAATTTTTTTTGAAAAAAACATTTTTGGTCAATTTATTTGGCTAATCAAGTAGAATGGTAACAATATTAATAGAACTTGTATTCAATAAAAACTCTTGCAACATTTTCTTTTTTTTATTATTGATATTGTTGATCCCATTGCAAATGGGAATGAATGCAAAAATGTCTGCCTCGCCAAATTTATAGACAAAACATAAAAATACATGCAGAAAAATTCTCTCCATAATTGCTCATTACAAAGGCACAACTGTGGAAATTACAATGAGCAATTTTGTGATATTTTTAGCTGCTATTCACATAACTGATGTCAGATCACATTACTTATCCTTAGTCTCCTTACAGACCTGACACTGGCACATCAATTCATAATTTAGCCAGAATCCTGACTCTTGTTACATTATAGAAGGTAACTGAAAGAGCTGTGGAAACTTTATACAAAATGCAAAATTTAATTTTTTCTTGAATCCAGACGAGCACATAATGTAGTGATTGATTTTGCATATCTGATAACTGTTTACATGAGAATCATGTTGTGAGACTGCTTTGCCATATGAATTCCATAACAAGCTTTTATCAAACTCCTGAAAATGATGATTAAATTCAGTTTGTTGGACATTTCTGCCAATTACATTGCTAGTTACTCTACAAATGTTTGGAATGAAAAAATAACTCAGTCATGGACAGTTTTTTTTTATTTTGTAAAATATTTTATTTAGGATTATTTTCCTTTTTTTTTTTTTTTAAAGTTTAATTGAAATTTTGAAAAGATGTACAGTTTCATTTGAATTACCTTCCCATTAATCATGCAAGTTAATATTTCTCTTTATGGGATAGAATGCAATTTACATTTAATACAATTCAAGACTTATATGCAATGATATTATAGATCAGTTCCACCTTCATAGTTCAGTGTAATTATGGGATTATCAGGCTGAATTCAAATTGCAGCCAAATCAGTTGCATTCACTTTCTACTAAAGTTCTTGGAAAAGGCATGAATCCATTACTCCTTTTCCCAAGCTATGTGTAGCTATATAGGGTGGACTGGGTTTTCTAGCTTTTATAGGGCAACCAATCTAAGAAAAGGACTGCTCTGAATTCAATACCATAGAAAAGGCAGCCTGAAATCATACCCTTACTTTTCATGGAATTTGACAGATATTAAAGTAAAAGGAAGCTGTGGGGAGTAATGATCATCTATATTGCATTTGGGGAAAAAAATAAACTTCACAGTGTGAAGATCAATCAATGAATAGATTCAAGGATGAAGGTATGGTCGTAACAAAAGTTGCTATTATGTAAGTAATTTAGTAGAAGAATGTGTGTTTTGTTAATGGTGGAATATTCTATTTTGTATAAATTTACATTTTACTTGATATTAACTTGTTCTGTTGCAGTCACCGAATATGTGGCTTTAAACGTGGTGTCACTGTCAGTGAAAAGGAATATGAAGACTCTTTGGCCGAGAGTGCTTATTACAGAACATCAGGTCAGTATATCTTCAACCTAAAATCAGTGTATAAAACTATATGGGACTAAATTCTATATTCACTGAGACATAATGTGATACAGTGCTAAACATTTCTCAGCCTGACTAAGAAGCCTTTAAAAAAGAAAAAAATGAAATTCTGCAGTCTTATCATAGAAAATAGTTTAAGGCACCTCAACATGGCGTAATGCTTAGCAAGCTTGTGATTATGACTAAATAGTGACTTCTATCCTCATTGGGTGCCCCATACTTTCAACCTTGTACCACATCTAAGCTATGCTTAGAAAATCACCATAGAAAAATGGGTTGCAACTATCATCAATATATATTATTTACTAGCAGTAGAGCCCGGCATTGCCCGGGGATGTAACAGTAAGAGATAGATCAAGTATCGACCATCATAAAGACTGAAAAATAAAATTGACAAAGATTGTTGTTTAAGGTTGACTGACACGCATGTCTTAATTAGTTTTTTTTTTTTTTTTTTTTTTATGAATTGGTCAAACTCAAACAAAAACATTGTTTACAATCGTTATGAGTCTATCGATTGGTGAATAGAATTTTATTATAAACAATTGTCTTGTAAATGGAATTTTTAAAGCATTCTGAATGTAAATAAAGAAAAAAGTGTGCAAGACAATAAGAAATACTACCTGCCAAAAAAAAAGTGGATGTTTGTTTTATCGGCTGAAAAATGTAAGAAATCCGATCCCATATATAAAGGAACACACACACACACAAACAAACAACCTGGGTTTTTTAACCTAAGTCACTCCCCGGAATCGCTAAAACATAGAGCATAGTCTGATGAAAAAGACGCTAAAATTTATGAAAACAAAATTTTATCGTCAAAATGCTTATTTTTTATGAAGAGGATAGACTAAATTTTTTTAATTATTTTTAAAATTTTTCCATCTTTTTAGAATATTCTAAATTTTGATTTAAAAACCTTGTTTCTCTTTGTCGCAACAAGGAGTAGTAAATAACATAGATAATTTTTAGCGCGTTTTTTTGTATTTACACACATTAATTTGGAAAATCTTGCAAAAATAAAAATAATTGTCAGATGTTAATGAAATTTCCAGAAACGATTCACAGATGATCGAAATTATTATAAATATTTTTTTTTATTTTTTATTAAAGTCATGGCAGAAATATTTTTTTTATATTTATTAACACCCCCATAACTAATTTTATGAAAAACTCTAGAAATTCGAGACCATCGGTTTTAGTGATTACAATAGTTAAAAGCCGAAGGCTTTGACGAATGCAAATCATGTATTTTTTTGGTTTTTTTTTTTTACCAACGTACCTGAAAATCAGCTGTGAATTGTAACATACAAAACTCAATAAAACAAATATATTATTTAGTTTCAAATGCTTTTATTTGTTTTAATTTGTTTTTATGAATATGGACAATATTTTCTGGAAGCAAAAAATTTTTTGAATTTTTAATACAATTATTTCTTATTTCTTTAAAAGATTTTTAAAAAATGTTTAAATTGAACTTTAAAAAATATTTTAACATTAGTTAAATGCAACATCAACCTTTCAAAATGTCCGTGTGAGATTGTCATTGTCTAGCGCTTTGAAAATTGTATAATTTGGACCAATCGGATTAGCCATGGTAATTAAGAAATGTAATTTTTGTGTTTATAGTCGGACAGTAATTATCAAGTACGGAAGACCAACCAGAATACAATTTAGTTGCATTATTTGAGTTCAGCATTGTTATCCACTGTTAAGCCCTTTACTTTTTTGCGAAACACGATGGAGAAGTTAATTTGAGTTTTCAATTTCAACTGAGAAGGGTACCTACAAGTAACAGTATCATCTTATGAAATTTAACTACTGCTAAACTTTAATTTATATGATCTTATTTTTATATTAATCTCAGTTATGACATTTTTCCATAAATGAAATATCAAAATTAATAATAAAATGAATGGAAATACAAATAACACAGTAAAATGTAATAAATGTACATAAAATTATAGTATTTTATGTACACTTTGATAAAATTTCATAAGAAAGGTACCTAAATTAATTAGATACCTTTTTTTTATGAAATTTAATCTCACTATTAACAGTCTTATTTTTTAATTTCTTTATATTTTCCATAAAGCATCGTAAACGTAAAAATGAAAGCTAAGTACAAAAAAAAAAAAAAAAATTAGAGCGCTGAAAGTTTTCCTTAAAAGTAACAAGGTAAATAATTTGTTCACTTAAATAATTTCACTTCCTTCCATCCGTGAGAAAGAATTACCCTCCGTAAGTTATCTAAACGTCATGAATGTGCCTTTCGTCAAAGCGACACGAAAGGTTATGACCTGCTTTGTTTTATTTTCAAATTACATTTTTTCAAGCGCAGAAGCTAAGCTAAGCTTGGTTCAAAATATTTTAAATAGACAGTATAATATCTGTTTTATTAAAATCAGTTTTGAAAAATAATTGATTTTTAAAAGAATATCAAAGTAAGATTTTAATCTTTTTATCAAATCGAAAAAATGATTGAAAATGATTATCTGTCCTTTTTTTTTTGACCAAAAAAAACATTTTTAACAAAAATTTCAGACATGCTAGGAACGATTAAAAATGTAAAAAATACACCCAAAATACTTTTGATCTTTCCTCTTTAATAATAATATGAAGATTAGACGATAAAATTTTGTTTTCGCCAAGTTCAAGTTAAAATTTTTCATCATGCTATGCTCTTTTGTTTACATTTTCGTGGGTGAGTTGTCCCCTTTCATTCTCACGATGTGTCTTAATCGTGTTTTCAAATTGATTTTCTTAAAAAACAACTGTGTTTTTTCCCATTTTCGGTGCCGTTAGAACCACCAAAAGGTAATTTTATGTAGTCCTGTGAAGTTTTGTTGAAATTGGCTAAAAAATGTAGGAAATTCGATCCAACATATAAACGTTACAGACACACACGCACACACACAACCTGCGTTTTATAATAAGTAAGATATATTTCTCGTTTAGCTATGCTGTCAAAACTGACAGCATATTTTGTTAAATCCTTGCTATTAGGTTTTCATATTATAGGTTTTTAACCTATATACCCCTGACATCAATTTAAAATGACACCTTCTAATTTCATATATTGTTATTAGTTTAATCATGCTGAATGAAAGCTTGGAAACTTACCAAAGTATATACCAAGAAATATTTTCCAAAATTATAGTTTACATATATGGAGTATAGGAGAATATGGGTTTTATATATAAATATACTAGTTTATTTATGTCATTAAAAATAGCAGTCTTTTTTTTTAATTAAATCTTTACAATTATTAAGTCTTTGCATGCAAGTCTGTAAATATATAATTAAATCACCAGTGCAAGGAAGATAACTTCTAGTATAGTAAACAGTTACTGTAAATGCAAATAGAAGGTCACAATTCTCCATGTATGCAGCTCACTGTCACAACAAAAATGACAACGAACACAGGACATCTTAAAGCAATCTACTGGACTTGTAATGTTTATGACTAGCCAGTAGTGAGATAAATTTGCATGTTTATCAACCTCGACTGAGTGGAGTCTTTTGTAATAGCAGCATGTAGCATTTGTTAGCAATGAGTTAATTTGTTATTTTCTTCTGTATAGCTACAGACAAAATAACTATGCCAATATTACTAGGCATTCAATGCCCTTATCATGTGACTATGAGTCATCTACCAAAGCTCCAAATAGTAATCTTTCAGGTATCCTTATCAAATGCAGCTTGCTGATAAAATAGTGATTTTGTGATATACACACAGGGTGTGACAAATGTAATGCCTTTTTTATTTCACTTTTATTAAACAAAAATAAATTACAGTATTTTAAGAAAATTTATAAGTATTGTCACATCAAAACAATGTGATTTGTTATGGCTACTTATTATACTACGGATTAGTATTAAAGACAATACTAATCCAAATTTGTACAATTAATGTGGGCTGAAAGTAATACAATCTTTTACAGATAAACCTTTGTGAATAGTGTCTTTTGGATCACTATGTAGTGATATGTAAACCTTTCTACTTAGGTAAGACACAGGTGGGCTTGTTGTGGATCAGCCAATGAGTGTGGTTTACTAAGTTGTCAAAGGAATAAGGATAGATGTCACATATGTAGGAATTAGGAGAGGCAGAATCAAAATGAAACAATTCAAGTTTTGTGTAACAAATAGCAAATTTATATACAAGGGGTGGACCAAAAAATTGATAGGCTGATTATGAAGAAGTGAGGCTAGAAATGTGAAAGTGAAGTCAGTTATTTTTATAGATTTCTTTGTACAGTTTCATGTGATATGACCTGTAAAGAAACAATTTAGTTATTAATAAGAGCTGAATTTAATACATGCAAGATTTTACAGCTCTAGTCTCACTGGTTCATAGTCAGCCTACCAATTTTTAAGCCCACCCTTATATGTGATAGTAATAATAACAAACAAGGTTACAGAGTGTGGAAAATTACTTTGACATGTCAGGAGTTTGTAAAATGTTCTTTTAAAAGTGCTCTTTTTGTAGAGTGTATGTTATAAAAGAACATTAATATTTCTTTGAATGGTAAAATGAAAAATGTCCTACTTGTAATGCATGTTATGTCCTATAGTGAGTAATTAGAAAAAAAAACAAAATATTGTGATCGGATTCAAATTACTAAAGTGAAGAATTGTATGTACAGAGCATTGTAGTAATTTCTCATTGCATGGATCTACTGAAGAAAAATCTTTAGTTGTCTCTATTTATTTTCACAAACTGGATCATGAAAAATCTTTTTAAATGTCTAAATTTTGTGTGAAGTGCGCTTCTAGGCACTGTAAGCCAATATATTTTTTTCTTTTGACTGTAATCAGGATCATTGCGTCAATGCAAACAATCATTTCCTTACCTGAATAGTATGTGGTTTGCCAGGACTACATACATATATTTTTACAATTGACAAAAACGTCTGATTCTGAGGTTGGTGTAATTCAGAGGAAATGGCAAGTGTATATAAAGTAAAAGCTCTGTGTAAGGTTAGATCTTTCCGCACTTCCAGTGTTCATATTCTCCAAGCTTTTTTGTACCACCCTTCATATGTGTATGTGGAGTACCTTGCTGTCTTTTTTGTTTAAACTAATAGAGAATCATATTTTAATCTGCTTATCCTCTTCATTGGTTCTTCAGGCTCTGAGAATCGTTCATCAGCAGCATTTTACCAACATGAATACCATCAATCGAAACGTCGATCAAAGCGATATACTAAGAAAGTTCATAACACCTGTGAATTGATGGTTGTAGCTGATTACAAATTCTACAGTGGTGTTGGAAATAAGGACCTTTTGAATACAGCTAATTATTTGGTAAGAGTTGCTTATAAATATTCTTCCAGTCATTTTGCTATTCTCATTTCTTTGTATTTCTTAATGTCAGTAGAGCACACTTAGGGCAAATTGAAATAAATGCTGACAGGATGCAACTGAAAATGCAGAATTGTGTAGGACAGATTATGATTTATCAAATTTAAATGAAACTCAATGAATATATTTTTCAAAAACAACTCAATCCCATGAGAAACACACACTTATTTTGGGAATTGATTTTGCTTAAGATAATGTTGTATAGTTTTGTATTTTCAGTTTGTTTTATAGCAGTGTAATTTTTCATTTATTTCTTGCTACATGGTAAGGCAAATTAAGAATATCAGCCCAGAGTTATCTCCAGTACTAGCAAAACTGCTTCCTGAAGTAGAGGTAATTCTTAAGTCTATGGAAGGTGCCCATTGTGTACTCTGTTTTTAAGAATGTGGGTGAGCACTCCTTCCTGTTACAGTATCAACCCATTAGCCTCCTTAGTGTCATCAATAATCAACAAGGTTGTTAAACACTTATCTGTGCAGATGATACAACAGTTTCTAGGTGAACCTCCAAAAATCTGAATGACCAGAAGCTAGCAGCTCATCTCTCCTCTGACCCAGCCCAGATGACTCAATAGGGGAAGGACCGACCTTTAAAATTCAATTCATTCAAAACCAAACTAGTAATGTTCCACCACCACTGAGCAGACCCTACACTTTCACCCGTCATGATAGCTGGGTGTTCTCTTAAGGAGGCCCTTTGCCTTGAATATCTGCTGGGACTCAAGCTCACCCCAGACCTCAAGTGAAACTCGTATATACAATCTATTGCTAAATATGCTGGGAAAATAGCCGATTCATTATACTGCTCTATCTTTACAAAAAATAGATCAAACCAAAAATGAAGTATTGCTACTATATCTGGGCTGGAGCTGCCAAATCCTCACTTGCCTGTTTTGATAGAGTTCAAAAGTATCTGTGACCTTGTAGGTAATGAATTATTTTCTACCCTACTACACCTTTCTCACAGGTGAAACATTGCAAACTTCTCACTATTCTGTCACTATTTTCATGATAAATGTTCTGCCAAACTACATTCCTAAGTGCCACCAACTCTGACCTTTACAGCTAGGACCCACCATGCCATGTACATAAGGATTAATCCTCATTCCTTTTGGATTCCATTAGTAAGAAGGAAGTTCCACTCACAGCTTCTTCCTAAGAACTGCTGCTTTAGTTTGTTCGCTGTATCATGCTAGACAGTTTTTATTCACTGGAATCTTGCATATTTATAAGTCTACCATTGATTCTTGCATTGGATATTGCTGCCACAGATAGTTTGGTACTCTAGTCATTTGTCAACAAGTTGGATGCCATGCATGACATCCATGTGAAAGTTTAGAAATGACAAGTCTATTTAAGAACATGACTTTCAAGTTAATATTTTGTTTTTTTTGTGTAGCATCTTACAGTATTAAACAAAAGCACCCTTAGTGCAACTTATCCTGGGTTCAATTTCCTATACTAAATTTACTAAAGTAAAATCTTATTAAAAGGTTCAAGCACTGTTAGAGGATTGTTAGTTTTCTATCTGATGTATTTTGTCTTTAATAATTTTAATTACAACAGGGTGCTGAACACTTTTTGACATTACCCACTTCCCCAATTCTGATCAAATGGCCAAAGATCAGAATAATTTCTTCTGAATCAAGTCAAAAACTTTTCAACACCCCTTCATATATATTTGTTTAATGGTTTTGCATATTATCATTTATTATATATTATAATTGTAATCCCAATCTGCCTCAAGTGGAACTCATACATATCATCCATCATGATAGATGCTAGAAAAATGGTCAGTTCCCTGTACCACTTCAGTAAGTACCCAACTCCTTCTGATATCCTCTACCTTTACAAGAGCAAGATCAGGCCAAAAATGGAGTACAGATATGGGTAGGATCTGCCTAGTCTTCACTTTCCCATCATGATAGTACAAAAACGTTTACATGGTCTTGTGGGTGATGAATTATTTTCCACCCTACATCCTCTTTCCCATAGATGAAACTTTGCAAGACTCTCACTGCTCTATCACTATTCCCTTAGTTCCACCAGTTCTAACCTTCATGGCTAAAACCTGCCAAGCCACATATAGCAACCCACCCTTATTCCCATCATATTCCATTGGTGAGATGTAAGTTCCACTCAGATTCTTCCCAGGAACTGCTACTTTGCAGAAACAACTCCAAGAGGATGTTTTCCCAATCACTACAATCTTAACCTGTTCAAATTTAGGCTTGATTGTTATTTTCCCCACATATTCTCATAAACTGTGCCCCCTTGCTTCTACCTTGTACAAGGTGAGCATTATTTTTTTTTTTTTTTTTAAGTGGGGGTGTTGAGCTTCCACATCTTACTGTCATGATTTCATTCATAGCTACTTGTCAAAAATGAAGTTTTTACTTTGTATGCACCTCATCTTGTGACACCAGGATTATATACTCTCACTGGTGTTTAAAAAGTTAGCTTGGATTAATTACATATCTATTTGTTTAGTGAAATTCATAGCTTTGATAAGAACCATTCATTTACTAGCCAGCAATTTATATATTAATTATATTAATATAGGTACCTCCACTAATTTGCAATATGTAAGGCTTAAAATGAATTTGAAAAATTAAAAAGCTTTCATTTTAGCTTTAATTGAAACTTAAAGATTAAATTTACTATTCCTGTAAGCAAAATACTTTGTAATGTATTTCAAACAAAAATTATATTGATTGGAGTTGATTTCCTTTTTCAAGCTAAAAATATCTGATAAGTGCCCTTTTCCAGTCATCTGTCATCGCAAATTTCAATATCATTTCAATAATTTTCTTTATTAAAAAAATCTTCCAAAAATGAAATATACTTTATATTAGCTGATTTAACAGATTACAGCATCTATCAAAGAGATCAAATTTAAATTTTTATTATTGCATTATTCCAAAATCTTAATATATCAGCCAATAGTTATTAATGTCAACAACTGAGCACAAGTAATTTTTAATTAAAAAAAAATTAGTAATTAATGTATAATATTATCCGTAACTACATGTACAAGAATGTAGTTTTTGATAAAAGTTTAAAAAAATGACTATAAATACATAAAAAATGCGTATACTGTCAAAAATTCCTTTTTCCACAATATAGCTATGTGTACTGTTATAATGCTTATTACCTAAACCAAGGGTCAGCAACCTATGGCCCACAGGCCAGATCCGGCCCACGAAGGCATTTTGACCGGCCCGCGAGCCTGATTATAAATGACTCTATATTTAACATGAAAGACTAGGCTTTCGAATTAGACTATCTGCCAGTTATCTTTCATGAGACTTATTTTACCAAGTTGCGTTGCCTACGTTTAATGTCAAATAATGGATACATATTTGTTATGACCCTTGGCTACATTAAAAGATAACAGAAGCGAAAGGAATCATAAAGTGAAAGAGGCCAGGGAGGGACTGACATGCGAGGTAGCAGAAATCTAAAGACAGTTAAGCATACGCGCATTATACATACATGCCTCATGAATGTGTGGATGATACCACATGTGTACGTACGTAAGTGTATATGTTTACAACTATTTGTACTCGTATGTATGAGTATATGTGCTTTGTTTTTGTTTGATATATGTGTGTGTGTGTGTGTGTGTGTGTGTGGAACAATTTTCAATAACAGTTTCAAACCTACACGTCATAATTTCATCCATTTTCACTTCGGTTGATTTTTTTCACTTTGAAGTATTTTGACGTTCCTTGAGGAAAAGTAATTTTTGTTAGGTGTTTTTTAATTTTAGATTTTCTTTTGTTTTTCTGATTTCTCAATGTTTATTTTCATTATGGCTTTAAATATTTAGGTTGACAGGGGTCTGCATATGTAATTTTCCTTAATTTTTCATTAATGGCCTTCGTTCGGCCCGCAACTATAATGACTATAACACGATCCGACTCCTGACCTAAACAATAATAATACTGAATAAATTTTTTTAAACATTAAATTATATTTAATCACATTTCCCTAATAGCTGTCACAAGTATAACTAATTTGATTTGAAACAAATATTATTTAAGTTGAAAATAAATATATTTTTGAAATATAGTAGCAGTGATTTACATGCTTTTCGTTGCTTGTCAATAATTTAACAAGCATTTATAAGGTGTTGACAGTTTTATTGTTCTATGGAGACTTTAGCTGTTAAAAATAATTTAAGAAAATGGCAGGTGGATGAAATTTGAGGATGTAATGGTGAGCTATGCAATGGTATTTGGTTAATTTGAAGAATATTGTAATCTTTGAAAGTCTATTACTCTTTCACTCATCAAATTTCTTATCAACCATGAAGATGTAACAGAATTTGGGTAAGCCTTTTCATAATAAATGATTTGAGAGTGAAATTGTTAGACATTGTAATTGCTATAGATAATACCATCCAGAAAATTGTTTTAATTTTCATTGGTATTCTCTTAGGCAAATGTTTTTTGAATAATCATATATTAGTGTAATTTGTTCTAATTCATTGTTAGTACTGAAAAAAAATATATCAAGTGCTTTTTTTTATAAAATTAATTTTCCCCTTTTTATTTTTGTCTTTCTTTTCCTACAGATCCATATACTTCGTAAAGTCGATACTATTTACCGAACAACACTCTGGGATGAAAAAGCAGGTTTAATAAATTATGGCATTAAAATCAAATATGTAAGGATTGACTTCTTCTGTTCATTTCCTTTTGCTGTATTAAATATGCAATATTCCTTGAATTTCTTTTAATAAAACTTCTGCAATGAATTGTAGCAAAATCCTAGTACAGAAGGTCTACCAACTAAATAAATGTTGATTTATTATTGATTGTTTCTAGATTCACATAATGAAATGTAAACCTTTTTTATTGTGTACACAATGAATGAAAATCTCTTAAAGTCTTAGGAAAACATTTTAGAAATATCAGAATAGACAACTATTTTTTTTTTCCTATTCATATTTTTTTGTATTTATTTAGAATTTGTAAAATCCTCATTGGATTCATTACCTCTTAAAGAAGAAAAAATAATTTTAGTTTAAAATGTGAAATTTTATCACTTTGTAAAGATTACAGCCAGTGGTTCTTAAGCTGGAGTACCAACTTAACAGGTGGGGGGAGGAGTGGGGTAAGGTAATTGGGAAAGCAAAAGAAGAGGGTGCTAAACAAATTTTTCTTTTCATTTTATTGTTGATACAAACAGATTTTTTTTCCCTTAACTTGAATCAACAAATGAGTACTTTTTATGGTTATCCCAAGTTAGCATAAAAATTAAAATTAAACTAATACAAGAAAAATAAATGGGATTTAAAATTTAAGAGAAAAAAAAAGCAACTGAATTAAAAAATTTTATCAGCAATATCTTGATAGAATCTTTTAATTTAAATATCCAGTAAGTTTTAAAATTTTGCTATTTTACACTTTTTAATTTTAAATTAGCTATTTTTAACTTTTTAAATATAATTTTTTAGCCTTAATTTAATAAAGTGCAAGATAAATATTTTGAAGTGTCAAAGAGGTGCAAACCTTGATTGCAGGAAAATATATTTTATATGCCTTTCCATTTAAATAAGTTTGCTCTTCTTGGTAAAACTTACATTTTGACTGCTGTACTCTCCAGCCTTCTTCAGATGTCTGTCATATTTGGTAACCATGTCAAATATTTTGAACCAAATCCTTTATTCAATCCACAGGAGTAGATTGTTCTCCTGTGTTTTATGCTTAGGGGAGATAACTCATATCAGTTAATACTCTCTCCAGTCTGTTTCCTTTTTTTGTTTTGTTTTTAGATTTCTTCTACTGAAGTAATATATATTTTCCACATTATCAGACAGAGATTAAACTCACAACTGTAATATAACATCAGGACAGTATACAAGAGCAGTTCAAGCCTTCAAAGATATCTGTCCCAAACCAGAAGAGAATGTTACCAATTACTGTGTGCATTCTATCCTATGCAATTGTGGCAAGGAATGCAAGGGCAAAATTAGCCATCAGCCACCTCAGAGGGCCTTCAAAGACAGAATCTCACCATCGGGAGGAGGTTAGGTTTATTGCCAGGTGCCAGAGGTGTCCCCAAAAGTGGAAGTGCCAAGGGGATTTGTCGTCAGTAAACCCACTCTAAATTTCAACATTGTGTGACATTCAGTAGCAACGTGGATTCACTGAAAAATACAAGTCACCCCCTAAAGGTAAGAGTGGAAGAACATCAAAAGGCTGTAGTCTTTGAATAGATGTTGATATCAGGTATGGCTGATCATATATATAGAGGGAAGTCAGTGGTCATCAACCCTGTAGAATAAAGTTTATAGACAGATAACAAAATTGGAGGTGAAGATGGCTGCAACAATTAGCACACATGTTAGGCACCAACAACTTCCTCAGTAGACCTAGCATAGAGATGAACACTATCTAAAAACTTTTGATTAAGAAAGAAAGAAAACACTAAAAAATTCTATGACTTGCTTGGTTTATTAGGTTTAAGGCTCCAAACGAACACTACTAGATTGCCTAAGAGACACATGGCCTAGTGGATTAGTGTTGGTTAAAATCAATCTGGTTTCCTGGTTTTCATTAGGCTGGCTTAGTCGAAGGACATGTAACATTAAGGCAAATAGTGGTGAGTATTAGCTAATATGAAATGTCCTCTCAACATGGAAAGTGGAATAAGAATAACCTATGCTTGTAGATTGAACTGAAATGCTTCAATTCAAAATTCTGAGAAAGTTACCCAGTTCGATAAAGAAGGCCAGAGAATAAAATGGTTGAAACATAGACATAACAACTAAAAAGAGTCTGATTGTCCAAAAGAAAATGCATAATAAATTAAGTGAGAAAGGTGGAATTATTATAATATTTTGTTGATCATCCTGCTCTAAAGGAATGAGTACATGTTTAATCAGCTATTTGCTGAGTTCATTTTTCATTGAAACATCAACAACTCTTGTTGAACAAAGTTGGACTCAATTCAACAAGTTAAGAACTTTTTTCCTCAAAGATTTTTTTTTAACTATTTGTTATCTATAACTGATGATATTTAAAGATGCAGTCATCTCTTTTGAAAATACTTAACATACATAATTGTATTTATCTTTTAGGATTTTTTCTTCTTGTAAATATTTTTGCAGATGTCAATCCATCGAGAATATTCCAACCATGCCCAAGATTATAATTATAATAAAACCTGGGAAATCACTCCATTACTTCAGGTATGAATTTTCTTTCATTTATTTCACTTACCTATATTATTTCTGTCCTATAAAAGAGGTAGCATGATTTTGAAAAATCTAATTCTTACTGCTACTTCTGTCCCATTATAATTGTTACATTTATTCTATTAAATGTGTATACAAATGTAGTAATTATTATGGGACAAATCTTTTTCTTTTTTTTTTTTTTATGCTAAATCCTTGTAGGCAATCATGCCTCTTTACAGATTACTTTTCTTTATTAGCTGTGAATCGTCAAGCATTCTTGGGAAAGATAGTGGAGTGTTTTTTCCATTACCTTCTCCATGACTTTAACTTCAAATGCCATGTCCCTTCAGAACATTTTCCTTTTCTTTATTGTCTGTGAATTGCCATGCATTCTTGGGAAAGATAGTACAGTTTTCCTGTTGTATTCTCTATGATTTGAAGTTCAGTTTTCCTTCTCTTAGATTGGTTGATGCCCACAACTAGAGAACTTATTCTACCTTGCTATTTTATCCATAGATTGGGGTGAGAAGAGATGGATACAAATCTTTCCCAAGGGCATTTATGCAAAAGTGAACACAACAGGTTAGGCTGGAATTTGAACCTAGTTTGCCAATTCAACTTTCCACTATGCTGCCTGCACATCTACTCATGATTGCTACTGCTATCTCATAATAGTTGTTATAATTAATGTATGGAATTTGTATATGGGCATGTAGCCAAGTGGTTAAAACAGTTGCTTTCTGACCATGAGACTTAGGTTGAAATCTCACCATGGCCAATTTGTTAGGAAGATGACTTCTCAATGTTATCAGTCTGGAGGAGGCAATCCCAGTGTGCAGCAATTTTGGAAAGTGCCAGATAACCATACCAAGGTTGAGCCTTATGAATTGGGAACTGTCAGTGGTTGTGTTAACTTGAACTCACAAGTCATCGTGACCGAGGGTTTGAGCATGCTAGCCTTGTTCAGATTGTTCATCATGCACTCTCTCTCAGAAACTGTAACTAATTATTATGGGGCTGAGGTAGTACATTTTTTTTAAATATTACTACTAAGAACTAACTCAATACAATATGAAATGTGTATGCAAATGTACAAATATTATAGGATGGAAGCAATAAAAACATACTATCTTTGTCCCATAATAATTGTAACATTTAGTATATGAAATGTGTATGCCATTAAAATAGGATGAAGGTAATATGTTAGTGAAAAATATTCTTCTTTTAATTATTATTACTGTTTCTGTCCCATAATATTTATTACATTTCATGTATGAAATTTGTCCAGAAACAGTTTTTAGATTTGTAAAAAAAAGATGAAATCATTGATTAAATCAATGCTTGGAATGAGTAAGTTTTAATTTTTTTTGCCTCACCTACTTATATTTTTTTTTATGCCGAACTTAAAACACAGCTGTTGTGATTTCGTAAATTTCTGTATATGTTTCACTTTGAATAAGTCAGTTTAAAAAACCTCATCTAACAATGTCTCAATCTTTATACTAATGTCAGATTTAAACATAACAACACAAAGTTGATGCCATAAAATATCAACATGACCCATTATTTTAAATGATCATCTTTTTTCACCTAATATGCAAATATCCTTTCACAAATGTGATTATTGTCTGTGAATAAATTAGCCAAAATTCATGTTGTGTTGTCCCAAGCTTTTTAACTCACACAGGCCATCAGTGGAGATTTAAAAAAAAGAAAATTGTTTTAAGAAATAGATTGCATCATTATTTTTTTTTTTTTTCCAAGTATCATTATTTTATGATCTAATGCAAGTCATGTGACACCAACATTTAATAATGTGTTTAGAATAACAAATTTTTTTTTTTTTTTTTCACAAAATGATATTTCTATATTAAAAAAGGAAAGATTATTAAATGTAACAGACATAAAAAGTCTACTGTTTTTAACAATATATATTTAAAAGAAGAATTGTGGCCAAAATATAGTGAATTTAAAAATTATAACCATTTAAATTCCTCAAAATTTAATCCTTTTTTAGAAATGTTAAACTTCCCATACATTGTCATTTGTCATTATAATAGGTACCTCCACTAATTTTCTGATAATGTCATGTATGATCAACCATATTTTCAAACTGGGGCACATTACATAATATTTTATTTACATTAAAATAATTAAAAATTATTTTAAAAATCTTGAAGGAAAATAGTTTGTATTAAGAAGGTATAGGCATGAGATTGCTGGAAAAATGAGCATAGCATGATGAAAACAACCTTAAACTTGACAAAAATAATTTTTTATTGTCTAAATGTTTATGGGGAAAGATCAAAGTATTTTTTTTTTTTTTTTTTTTTTTTTTAATCATTCCTAGCACGTCCCAAATTGTTGTTTAAAATCATTGTTTTTTTTTTATTTTAGTCCGGAAAATTAACACAAAATCGATCGTCAGCCATTTTTTTCAATTTTGTAAACACAAGTTAATTTTTCCATTTAAAATTATGTCAAAAATCAATTATACCTTAAAATTTTTTTAACAAAATTAGAAATTTTAAAGTTTATTTAATATATTTTAAAACAAACATTACTTACTTTATGTGCTGAAAAAATGTAGTTTAAAACAAGAGACAGCAGCTCTTAACAGTAGTGACATGTGATGATTTATGCTTCCAACACATTGACAGCTTACACAAGGAAAAGTTCTCATACAGAAGGACAGAAATGATATAATTTAGCTTTTTATTGAACCAACTTATTTCCCTCATTATTTTTAAGGAAAAATTTCAGCGCTCTAATTTTTTATTGTTTCTTAGTACTTAGCTTCCCACCTTTATATTTACAATGCTTTATGAAAATTTTTAAACTAAGACTGTTGAGAGTGAGATAAAATTTCATAAAAAAAGTACATAAAATTAATTAGGTATCTTTCTTATGAAAGGTTAAGTGTACATAAAATATAATTTAATATTCATTTATTACATTTTATGGTATTATTTGTATTTCCACTCATTTTATTAATTTTGATATTTCATTTATGGAAAAATGTCATAACTAACTGAGATAATATAAAAGTAAGACCATATAAATTTCATAACATAGGTACATAATAATTTGTAGGTATCCTTATCATTTGAAATATTATACAATTTTTTTTCTTTCATGATGTTTCCAGTCTTCTGTATATTTGAATTACAGCCATTTTATGGACACAAAAAAAAAATATTATATTAGATTTTTATCTATTTCAGATTTTCTGAATGTAACCAGCTTTACAATTTACAATATGTAATGATATATATCTAGTTAATAACACCATTAGGCTATGGGCCAGAGGCCAAAAAAGGGCTTAGATTTTGAGTTCGTGGACATTTTATTCATATGAGAAAATTTAAAGTGTTTCTAGGAGTATTTTTCATGCTGATTTCAAATCTGAAGAGATCTCCAGGCTAAATGTGCTTTTGCTTCAGAAAAGGGAGATAATACAGGGTGTGTCATTTACGGAAAAAGTCCATTTTCATGGTTTACTTCATGTAAAATGAACTTTAAATAAGTTTTTTAGCACATTTAAGTGTATCAACAAGAAGCTGATATATCTATGCTCTTATATTATGTGTTAATTTATTTAATCAGAAATTTTCAGCAAATAAAATGACTTGCATAAAGCCATAACAATGAAAACTTTACTTTCTATTGTCGTGTGAGTTTCTCAAATTCGAATAACCTCGTAAAACATTGCAATGTACATTAATTTGATAAAAAACATGAAAAACCTTTATATATGTTTCCAAATCTTGTGCCTTCCAAAAATCATAGATGGAAGAACTGTTTTCAAATACTTCTGGTGATTGACTTTTCTTCATTTTGGACTGCCATTTACTTTTTGATGTAATTTCTATATCATTGACTGATATAGAAATCTTAATGTTTAGACTAACTTTGACTATATATATATAAAAAAATATTGTAATCAGAGTTTTTTTCAGTTATGTTGAAATAATTGTTATCAAGTAATACATTTATAAAAGGAATTGAAAAATAATTGATTGTCCTCTAATCCTGCAAGCTTATCATTCGTCCTCTGAGGAGTCAGAATCTTCTATTTCATAAATCTGCTGCACTTCATTATTTTTTTAAGTACATTAAAACAATCTATATACTGGCAAAGGTCTCTACAAGGCAGTGTTTGACGAACACAAGAACAACGCCTGGAGTTACAGCTGTTCTTCTTACAGTTACACTTTACTAAGTTCGTCAAGGTAGATGAAGTTTTAGGAAGGCTGCTCCAATGAACAACGAGTTTTTGATCTTCACATTTTCAGCCATGATTTGTTGCAGAAGTAGCATTAATATTAATGTGAAGACATTGTCGCCAAATTACAGCCTGGTAATTTGCCCTTTCTGCATGTAACCGTAAACTATTTTGGCAAGGTGGTAGAGTATTATCCAATTTTCCAGACATATGAAAAATATTAAAATGAGCAGTATTTACAGAAGAAACATTTCTCTGTCCAAAGACAGCACACAAATTTTCTAGTTGCTGGAACAAATCATCTGTCAGGTGCCAGTTGCAGCCTAAAAGTGTGAAAGTTTGAAGAAATTCCTCTGTTTCTTTCATTAACTCAAAGGGTTTTATTTTACCCTTTCCTTAAAGAAGCTAACAGTATCACAGCCAGTGAATGCATGCAAAGAAAGTAAGGCACTTGAAAGAGCAGGTCCACATTTCTTTGCAACTGATTTAATAGAGATCAAACAAGATGATCGGTTGGTATTAGTAGCCATATATAAATCACAGCTTAATTCATTTTGATGAGCAAGGCAAAGAAGAAAAACATCCGTATCTGGAGTCTTAATGATAATGGAAGGGAAAGCAGTTGATGCATGCTTTGCATGAAGCAAAAGAAGGGTATCGGCTTCATGGTCAGTTGTTAATTCTGGCAAAGTTTCTGTGATTACTTCACCTGTGTCACTATGAGGACACAGCATGAAACTTCCTTGGCTAAATGAAGCAATCACAGTTTTTCCATGAAATTCTTCTGCTGGCAATTTTTTCCAGTGCATCAACATAAATAAGATGAGGGATTCTTTATTTTCACCAGACATGAAGAATTTTCGAAATTGTACCAGTGTTTTCTGTTTTTCATTCAGAGCATGTAACAGGTGGCATGGGGTAATCAAACGGCGTCTTCTTTCAGAGTCTTTAATACTCCATGGATTGTACTTATCACAGACAAAGTCAACTCTTGATGACATATAAGTAGAAGCAAGCTTGATTACATATCTAAAAACATAAATACTTAGCTCACCAAACCTTGATGGAACATGGTCTGCAAGCTGTTGTATTACTGCCATTCCATCTAATATCAGTGCTGCATTTTTTGGAAAATTGTTAATTTTCATATCAGCAAACTTTACAAGAAAATAATGAAATATTGGTTGGTACGCTGCAAAGAACCATCAATGTTACTTAGGCTAGATGGGAACTCTGAAAGGCAATGTGAAAAAATTTCTTCCAGGTCAACTTTTCGGATTCTTGCTACTATAAGAAGCCTAGTGAGAAGGTCTTTATCTGCTTTCAAGCAATCTGCTTCCTTCTTGCTCTTTTGTTGTGAATGCTTTTTCTGAAGCTCACTAAGTTTTTATCTTCATTGATTTTAATGGTGCATTCAACTCCACATTTTTCAAAATTAGTCGTTGTTGAACAAACTGATTAGAAATATTACAGCCTTGTTCATGTGCTGTCAAAATGTCATCTTTAATTTCAGAAGATGCTACTTGGTCAGATGCAATGTTAATTAATTCTTTTTCACAATATGCAAATGGATTTTGCATAGACTCATATATATATGAATATCTGCTTCATCCTTTTGATATCGAGAACTACTCAGGTCTTTTTTATTATGGCAGCCCTCTCCTTTTCCAGCCATTTCAGTACAGTTTTTAGAGATTTGAGCACGTTGATTAAAAGATAAAATCCAACGATGAACAGCATTGTCATTATTTGAGAATCCAATCTGCCCACCTCTGGTCTTGCTATCTCTATTCATTGTCTGTTCAATCGTCTGGTTCATTGCCGTCTGACTAAAGGGGTACTGGTTTTGTTGCTGAACTACAAAATCCCCAGCAGCAAGATGCTTTGCTATTGCAGGGTGGGTATCTGGAACAGCAAGCATCTCATAGATATAAACAGGAAGATATCTAGCATAGTTCAAATGGTCATATGCAAAATACCAAGGTACCATTTCTGCTGCTGATTTAAGGTGAAGGGCCCAATCTCCTGTTCGTGTAGCACGAATAAAATTTAAAAACAAATCTGCCATATTCAAGTAACTCATCCAAAATGCAAAAGTTGGAAATTGGCTGCATCTCTCTTGAATAAATAAGGATAGTTTGCTTTCAAACTCTTTAAAATCATTTGATGTGCAGAGATCTTGGAATTGTGTTTCGGGAAAAACGACCGTGGCCTAATATTTAACAACTTTAATCTAAAAAAAGATAAAATAATTTAAGAAATAACAAATAATTGTTGTAAAAATTTATTTTTCATCGAAAATGTTTTTTGCTTTCAGATAATATTATCCATATTTATAAAAACAAGTAAAAGGAACTAAAAGCTTTTGAAATTAAATAGTATCTTTGTTTTATTGAGTTTTGTATGTTACAATTCAGAGCTGATTTTAAAAAAAAAAAAAACAAAAAAAAACATGATTTACTTTCCTCAAAACCTTGTGCTTATAACTAATTAATCACTAAAAATGAGTTATAAAAAATATAAAAAAAAAAAAAAAACATATTTATAATAATTTCCATCACTTGGGAATAGTTTCTGAAAGTTTCATTAAAATCTGACAATTATTTTTATTTTTGCAAGATTTTCAAATTAATGTCTGTCATAAAAAAAAATGCACAAAAAATTTGCTATGTTATTTACTTGAAGTTCCACTGATGAAGAGAAACAAGGTTTTTCAGTCAAAAGTTAGAATGTTCTAATAAAGACAGAAATTTTTTTTAAAATGACTAAAAATTACTTTTTGTTCTTTCCTCTTAATAGTAACAAACATTTTGACGATAAAATTTTTTTTCAACAAGTTTAAGGCTGTTATTATCATGCTACATTCATTTTCCAGCAATCTCACACCAGTACCTAGTTCAATTTATGATTATTAAATACAATTTTCACTTAATAACAATATCACCTAACTGTAAGAAAGTAATGGAGAATTTTAAAAGATTTATATATTATAGATTATTATAATTAAGATTAAAAAAAATAAAAACAATTGTAAAAATTCATTATTCATCAAAAAAATTTTTCTTCATAAAATAGTGTCCTTAATAAATCTTTCTTTTGTTTATTATTTTTTGTTTTTTTCTCTTTCTTTTGTGTTGTGTTTTTTTCTCTTTCTTTTGTGTTGTGTTTTTAACTTAGTTTTTTTTTTTTTTTTTTAACATCAGTTAAATTCTCCTGTTTTTGTTTTTGTTTTCCTTGCAGGCATTCAGTCGTAAATTGGAATTTAACAAATATTGCTTGGCCCATCTGTTCACTTACCAGAAATTCAATGATGGTGTTTTAGGTTTGGCTTACATAGCATCAAGTCGTAGAAATACTTATGGTGGAATCTGTTCCCCATGTAAGTATTTTAAAACATAATTTGGTATGTTAATTTTTTTTCTTCGACTATTATTAGTCTTCAGTTATTTGGATTAGTATTTACTTTTATCTTAACTTTTTAGTTTCATCCCGTCAGTTTACAAATGCACATAAACAGCATGTAATTGGAATAAAGAATAAGCTAAGATATAAAAGCTCTCCAGTAAGGAAAGCCTGGTGAAAATCCAACTACTTTCTTAGAACTTTACCACTCTGCTAAAAATCCTATCTACCTAGACCAATTTAATGACTATTTCTCTTGTACATACTTATCATAGTAGCAATATTAGTAGCAGCAGTATTTATTTTCTTTACATTTTAATAAACACTTAAGATAATAATGACTGAAAATAACCATGAAAATTTCAGAGTTTCTCGATTTTGATTTTCTCATCAAATCTTAATTCATAAAAGTTAATGATTTACAAGTTCCATGACTATAAAATACCCATGGAAATTCTATTACCTTGTTAAATATTTGAGCTTAACAATTTTATTAAAATATTGCAATATCTGTCTATATTTCTGAGATGAGGTATCTTAATTATTTACACTATTTACTTTGTTCAGACTGTTGTCCTCATCTTTGTTGTTGTAGTCACAACGTTTCAACCATTGTATGCTCCAACCTTCTTCAGGTGTTTGGAATTTCAAAGTGAATGAATGCTTTATTTCATCCACTGGGGTAGATTGTTCTAGTTCCACATGCCATGCCTCTTCCAGATACCTCAGTATCAGTTATCTCCCTTTTAACTCAACTCTCCAAGTTTTTGTTCACCTCTGCTGTAGTCAGGTATTGAACTCACAACTCTTTGCGTCAAGTCACTCAATTACTTCAGCCAATGCTTTTATACACTGGCCATGTGTCCTTGATTTAATGTTATAGTGGAACACACCTATTCTATTGTTAATAGACTCTCCCACCTATAATAAGTAGGAGTAGTAGCAGTCACTAAGGGGCTCAGTGAGTTGGTCAGTCAGTCAATGTCGGAAAAAGTATCAGCGACCACCACTAGATTTCTCTGCATCATTACCTATTATATCGAGTTTCTAACGTTTTGTACGTCGAACCTATTTTAGGACCGACTTAGTGAAATACAAGCCTCCACAGTTGATGACGAGGTTTCAAACTCATATGGAAAGAAAAAAAATTTGTTCGCCATATACAACTCTTGGCGACGAACGTATTCGGATTCATACAGAGGAAGAAAAATTTTCGTTCACCATACAACACTTGACCACGAGGATTCGAACTCATATGGTGGAAGAAAAAAAAAATTCACCCACCATAACAAATTTGGCGTTCAGATTCATACAGTGAAAGAAAAAAAAAAAATTTGCTCGCAACATTATTTGGTGACGAAATTCGTACTCATACGAAGGAAAAAGAAAAAAAACTTGATTGTCACAATTTTCGACGACAACATCTGATTCACATTTAAAAAAAAAAAAACTTGGCAAAGTTTTTCGAAAGATAAGACGTCAACTTACTGACGAAAAAATCAGTCGTATTCTCAACTGAGAAAAGAAATTTTTTTCTCGATAAGACAGTTTGCTCAAATAGGTCACGAATTGCAAATTTGTTTTGGACCCCCCTCTACAATATTTAAGCATTGTGTAAACTTTTTGTGAAGATGGAGGAATGCAAAAATATATTCCAGGAATTTTTTAAGTTCCAGACGGAACAACATATGACAATATTAGAGCACCAGAAAACATTCCAGATGCAACTACAGGAGTAAATTTTTAATAGACTGTTGAAACTTGGATAAGCATGGAATAATAATAATACAACACAAAATGTACGTAAACAAAATGTATTGAAACAAGGAAAAGGTACACAATATTTACAGTTAGTTTTGGTATATTCTTGGGAAGACTGTTCCTGCATAATGGGTTGACTAAATTGCAGTCGGGCAGAGTCTCTGGATTCGATCTCTTCTTACTATCTCCCCGTCTTCCGGTACCAACCCATATTTATATGGTCGGTACTCCACTTATGTAAATTAGGTGTATCGTACCACAACACCCTCCTCCCAAGCCTTGGAATCCCTTTTGGATTTCAAATTGGCTTCCTATATGGGTTGATGATTATGGCTATTTCTTTGTAGATCCATTTGCCTAATTTTTTAATATTTTTTCCGTTTTTGATTCACGTCCAATGGGTCCATCAACTTCTGTTTCCTACCGGATCTTCTTGGTTCAGGTGTATTCTGTGGAGGTTCTACCTGAAACATATCATACATTATATCAATGGGATCTTCGTCCTCATCCGGTATACACTCTTCTTGCTCTATACCGTAATCTTTTTTAAGTTGGTTTTGGTGCCTTTTATGAATATTCTTCGCCCTTTAATTATGTAAATCAGGTCACCGATTCTCTTGTCCACTATGCCTCGTTCCCAGAACTCAACGTTGTTTTTATAGCACTTGAAAAAACACCTTCTCTCCGGGAGTGTATCTTTTTTTTCTCGCTGTATACATGGTATTTTTTACTCTATTTTTTCCTGGCAAAAAGCTTGTCAAACACTGACTTAACTTTCCTAGCGAACATTAGTTCAGCTGGTGCCATGTTTGAGTGTGTTCTCTGGTTTGGCGTGATTCTGTATACTTGTAAGAATTGCTGAAGCGCCTTTTTTCCGTTGGAACTCCTGAGGCTTTCTTCAGAGCTCGCTTAAAGTATCGACAAATCTTTCAATGAGTCCATTAGACCTCGGATGATACGGAGGCGTCGTTATGTGGTTAATTTGATATAACTCACAAAATTCCTTAAATTCTTCAGAAGTGAATTGTGTACCATTGTCACTCACAATACACTCTGGCACAATCGAACCGCGCAAATAGTTCATGCAAAAAAGTTGTTGTGGTATTGGACATAGGCTTTTTACAGCGTAGTACTTCCGCCATTTTGTAAAACTATCTACCACTATTAAGTAGTAAAAATCTTCTACTGGACCAGCGAAAATCAATGTGTAATCTTGTCCACGGATGATCCGTCTTGGGCCATGGTTTGTGTACTATAGGTGGTGCCTTAGCTGCTAACGCACACCCCTTACATCGATGAACCGTGTTTTCGATATCCACATCCATTCCTTTCCAATACACAAAGCTTCACATTAAGCTTTTTGTTCTATTAATACCCGGGTGACCCATATGAAAGTCCCGAAGTATTCTTTTCTGCAGCTTCTTTGGTATTACTACTCTCTCACCATATAATAAAACTCCATCACCTATTGCACCTTTTGGTCATTTGCTACCATTTTGCTTTTAATTTCTAAAATGAAATCATCGCTTTCAGCTTCTTTTTTAATTTCATTTAGCGTAACCGGTAGCTCTCTTACAATGTTGTTTACCATGCTTTTCACCTCGTAATCTGCTCTGATATTTGCAATAATTGATTCTTCGAATCTTTCTTCTTGACTTGGTACTAGTCTTGATAGACTATCCGCATAAATTATCTTTTTGGATGATAGGTGCTTTATGTGAAAATCATAATTGAGAAGAATGGTTCCCCATCTTAACAGACGATTTGCTGTATAAACGGGTAACCCTTTCTTTGAACCAAAAATAGTGATCAGTGGTTTATGATCCATTTCAAGGATAAAATGTCTGCCGTGGATGTACCTGTGAAATTTTTTGTATGGCAAATATGATACTCAGTGCCTCTTTTTTCTATCTGAGAGTAACTTCTTTCTCCTGGGAGCAAAGTTCTCGAAGCGTGTGCAATTGGTTTTCTAGAACCATCTGGCATTATGTGTTGAATACACGCCTATCCCGTATGAACTAGCATCACTTGCTACTACAATATCCAGTTTTGGATTGTAATGGGTTAAAAGAGGTCGGACGTAAGCATTTTCTTTATTTCATCAAAGGCTTTCTGACATTCTACCGTCCATTCCCATGCCTTGTCTTTTTTTAGCAGTTCATTCAACGGAGCTCTTAAATTGTACATTCCTTTAATGAACGCTTGATAATAATTTGCAAGCCCTAGAAAACTTTGTAGCATCGCCACATTAGTGGGCATCGGCATGTCTCTAATCACAATGGACCTTTCCGGATCCAGACATATGCCATTTTTGTTGATTATGTGCCCTAAATACTTAATTTCCTCCAAACCAAATTCGCACTTTGACTCTTTGACTTTAAATCCAAAGTCCTGAATCTTTTTAAATACTTGATTGAGATGCTCTCGATGTTCGTCGACCGGTTCGCTCCTTACTATGATGTCGTCTAAGTAAGCGCCCGCAAAGTCTAAATCATTCAGTATGACGTCCATAGCTTGTTGAAAAATGGCAGGTGCCACTTTAATACCAAAAGGAAGCCTGTTGTACTTGAATAACCCTCTATGCGTGTTTATCCCTAGTAACTTCAACATTCCTCTTGACGGAATTTGGAGATAGACATCTGATAAGTCAATTTTTGAAAATATAACTCCACCATTTAGCTTGTTAAAAATCTCCTCCGGACTCGGTAACGGGTAATGGTAGTCCTTAATTACTGAGTTCAACCCTGTCGAAAAATCAACGCAGACTTGGTTTGATTTCTTTTTATGCACACAATCGGCGCAGCCCATGAATTAGATTCTACTTTCAAATAATTCCCATTTTTTTCCAACCTATATCAAGTTCTTCGTTAATTTTCTCTACACTTTATGAAAGGCACATTACGTTTCTTTTTAAAATTGGCATAGTATTTTCCTTTTATTCGAATTTGGCTTCAAACTTGTTACATCTTCCAAGACCAGGTGTGAAAGTTTCGGAAACTTTTTCTTTAATTCCTCATTAATGTCCTGTCTTGTTTGCATATTACTTTCTACTTTTCTGCAGAAAGAGTTTAACGGTTTATCCCACAATTCAATGTTTCAATAAAATCTGTACCCATCAAGTTTTCTCCATTTTTCAGAATGAAAACTTTTATTTTTTTAACTATCCTTGCTCAATTTCATGGGAAGTACAACCTCGCCTTCAATTTAATTTCCTTT